CTGACTGCTTGCTGGGAGGAATGAGTGAATGACGAGCAAGATAGACGGGTAGGTTAAGGAGATGGGACTCCGAGCTGCCGTTTGTTTTTGACAACTGAGATACCATATTCTGGCTTTGATCCACCATGAAGGATGCGGACGCTGTTTGCTGTTGGAGATGAAGGCGTTGTGTGTGCCTCTTTAGTGGGAGGGTGTGAGTAGAAGTGAAGATTACGGGAAGAAAATGGCAGCGCTGTTTATTCTTCTTTACTAGACACGTTTACGATGTGAACTTAGAATTCAAAAAAGAAAGTATGTGATAAAATTTGTTGGATCATAAGGTTCAAGGCAACTGTTGCATGACCTTGAGACTTAACATCAAGGTTATTGTGTTCTTAGGCGTAGTGTATAATGCTATACATTATATTATACTAAGAATAAACATCTTGTTATATTATTCTTATTACATAAGACCCTATTGGCTATACCTTGCGTATTGGCTACAGAGATATTTCAACTTTTGAATAATAAAATTTGGTTTATGATTAGTGAAGAGAGTTAATATTGAGTGCGTAATGAAGAGATGCCCCTTAGGGGTAAGAAAACTCAGACCTAAATAGAGGGTATCAAAAATAAACTCAGTAAAAGATATCCTAGATTTAGTAAAATTGCCTTAAACATATCCTAAGTTACCTAAGCACCGTGATCTTAGATGATAAAAAGACTGAGTTTCTTTCTTCCCCTAGATGCCAAAGTTATTGATATAATAAGATTCAGGCACTCCAGGTCCAATTATACTTCCTGTGAGTCTCCTTGAGAACTTGAATAGCCTTGTCGTAGGCACGATGCTTGACATCCCGCTTAACTACAATATCAGGGACTAGAAAGTTTAGTGCTTGAATTCGCAAGAAAGTTTGGTGACTCACCTTCCAAGTATCCATGGAACAGATCTTTCTCATGCAAGATTTCGACCCTCTGAACTTCTCTTTTACCGTCCTCGTTGTTAATTCTCTCTGCGAACTCAGTCTGTTCTGCGACGAGGATATCAATACCAGGAACGACAAGAAGAATCCTCTCTGGCAACGATTCCTTTTCTGAAAGGACGGGACTAAGTCTTGGATCTTCAAAGTGTTTTGCTCTCGCAGGTTCTGCATATGCGTCGAAAAGGGGTAGAAAGACCTTTGCTGGGTCATTCTTGGGCATGTTGTTTGGATGCGGTTTCTCCCAGGGACTCAGACGGAAGTCCATGACAGAGTAGAAAGTTGTGATGGCCTTGATTGATGTAGGGGATGGTGCCTGGCAGCTTTTCTGCTGAGTGACCGCGAATGCCAAGTTTCCTCCGGCAGAAAAACCGCTCGTAGTCATTAAAGTTGGATCGGCGCCCCAACGTTCTTCGGCGTTCTCTTGTAACCACTTGATCGTTGCATCAGCATCGTCGACAGCTGCAGGGAAAACATGTTCCGGCGCAACACGATACTCAACATCAACAACAACGGCTCCTGTCTGTTCCGATAGCAGTTGATCAAAATACGCATGGCCCTCTGGCAAGCCACCCATGAAAGCACCAGCGTGAAAGTTCGCATGAAGTGGCCTGAGAGCTCTCCCTCTCCCAACACCAGCAGCCTTGAAGATCACAGCTCTAACATAACGACCAGGCGCAATATGGAGGTATTCAACAGTGTAAGAGCGATACAAAAGACAGGGTATAGTGGCGATGGAGTATGTTAGGAGAGCAGCTGGTTGAAATACTAGCAACCGCCAGCGCAAGGCCCATGGTATATTGCGATAGAAGATCGCCACCAGACTGGGTCGAAACCAAGTATACAAATGGTGGACAATGCTGGAGGCCATTGTCGACTTGCGGTCTGTTGATATATATAGCGTGATAGAAGAAAGGTGAAGTTCAGGTTTGCGGCTGAAATGCCAGAACAAAAGAATCGAAGTTGTAAGCGGCCCAACATCGCACCGGTCTTTTATGAGAAAGAGCCAATCAACAACCACAAGTCAAGAACAAAACTGCGTCTCATCGATATGATATACGTTAAATTTCAGGAATAACTTGATAGATTGGGTCTATTCCTTTGGAGTACTGCTCACGCTTCTGAGCTCGCATGTGCTACTCTAGCCCTGTACAAACATACATGTCTGCATCAAACAAGAACGGTTTCAAAGTAAGCCACCCATTGAGGAATACATGCAACTTCCTGCATGTAATTTATATCCCAGCCGCCACTCAAGTAGTTGTCAACGTACCGACATAACATCCCTACCCTTGCAGCTGCATTCTAGCGACCCAATGCTCCGGGTCTATAAATTAAGCATAAATGAAGTGCATCTTGGAATCTCGAAGGAAAAAGCAAAGTTTGAAGGCTCATCACAAGGTGCAAGATTCAGAGTTTTTGTGTTAAGGTAAGATATTTAATATCACCAAGCTTCACAAAGTTAGCTGTTTCCATTGCACCAACCAAAGTAACAGACACAAATAACTCAAGGTACTCCATATACTCGTGTATTCTTTAGATAGACCTGTTTGGTCGCCCCCAACCCAAAGATTTAGTACCCATTGAACAACGCCATGCTACGCTAGGTCAAATTTCCAATATCCAAACTCCTCCGCCTGATCAAACCGAACCCAGGTTGAACGTCCATATATAAAGGAAAGTAACACACTAACTGAAGTTATGGTTCCTCAGCCACAGGTCGTGGAGGTTCCATAGGTGCATTTGGTTGCCTATTGCCCGAGCCTCGAGTTCCCGGCCGATGACTGTCCGTTTGACCAACGAGGTGCTCGCTTGGCCCATAGAATCCATGCATCTCTTCGTTCACAATACTGAGATTACTCTGGCCCAGAGAATCACTTCGTATTCGCGGTCCACCCGACTGACGCTGAGTTACAGGAGGTCGGTTCGGGATACTGGAAATACTGCCTGATGATCTTCGCCTTTCATCTCTCGGGAACACCACAGACGACGGAGAACTCGGCAGTTCTGGTAGGTATGGTGTTGCTTCTAGTTCTGCCGTGGGATGAGCACCTGCCATCACCCCAGGTGAACCATCAGATCCTTCCGAAGCATTACTGTAGTTCCGGACATGGGTATACGTCCCGTGAGAATCTGTACTTGAACGGTTTCTCGTCGATCCAGTAAGCCTAGAGATATGGCTCATTCGATGTTGTTCCCCTGCAGCTACGGCGCTGAAGTAATCGTCCCTGTTACCCACTGCATCGAAACTAGCATGCCTGCTGGTGTTGCCGCTTCCTGGTACCGCGTGGTAACCGTTCCCTCCTGGCGTAGGCTCATTGGAACTGTGATCTGGGCTGGCGAGGCCGAATGGTGAAGTTGCCGCAGAATCAGGGCCGGGGTTTCGCGGTCGTGGAGGTATCAGTGACGGATGTATCAATGGATCGATACTTAGTTCATCAACAGCCGAGTCTGCTGTTTTGTACTCTCGGGTCTGTCGAGATTGGGCGTTTGAGCCGTTGGATCTGTCTGATGTTTTTGGTGTGGCGACAGCGGCAACAACCTTGTTCAGATGGCGGATGATGATAAATGCCGCCACTAATACAATGATCAAGAAAGCCACAGAGCCGGCGATGATGCCGGCCAACGCGCCAGTTGAAAGGCCTCCTTTGTCGCCGTTATCACTGTCAGATGCGCTCGTTGGGCTGACTTTCGGGATCGACGATGGGAAGTATTTTAGAACTGCCTGGTCGTTATCTTCGCCAGCATTTACCGTCGGGAGAGCCGTAGGAGCTGTTGGTGTTTCGACGGTCACGGCGGTGGTCCTATACGTCGTTCGCTCCCCCTGTATTGTCGTTGTAATGACCATAGTACTTGTGACAGTAACAGGATCGGAAGAGTAACACTGGTTCACACCACATGCCATTCCATTCGGACAGCAGCCGTAGCTCAGTGATGACGGACATAAGTACTGGCTAGCTGGACAATCGTATGTGTATGCTGATCCAGAGGGCGGAACACAATTGTCGGCTGTCTCGCAAAGGTAGCCGTCAGGACAACAGCCTCCTACTATGTGTGAGCCTTGTTCGCGAACGCTTTACATTCCCAGAATACGAACCTCCATAGACTGGAGCGCAAACATGCCAGCCTATTTTTGTCCCACATGTTGATGGTCCCTTCGTTGTCGCTTGACAGCTCTCTTTGGCGCAATCATAGTTTTCTGGGCAGCACCCCCCGTCCAAACTTGAAGGGCATAACTTCATACTCGTCGCACATTGCGCTTCGGCTCGCCGACCAAGACCCGGTGCCTGTGTGATTTGCGCCTCCTTCTCAATACGATGAACGCCATCATGTCTTCTGTAGTCGGCCGCCTCGACACCCAAAGCCCAGAATGCACCAACGACCGAGGTGAGGCAAAAGCTACACCCCCAGTTCCTCATCTTGTGCGATCATGGAACTGAGGGGAAATGTGACAGCAAATCGAGAGTGGTTTCGTTCAGCCGTGAGGGGCGCCGATCATGAGCAAAATGTAACTCCGATAAATGCAGCCTCTTCAGGCTGGTGGTTGTCGCAAATCAACGGATATAATCTGATTGATGATCGCGGGTTTACAACGGTCACAGATCGGTTCGAGACAAGATCGCCGTGAGGATGGTGTCGAATATTCAACCGTTTCGCAACAAGACAACCAAAAGTAATGATGAGAAGGAGAAAAAGGAGAAATGCGTCAGACGAAATAGGAATATTCCTACTGTCAGCAATGGAGGCCTTAGAGGCTTGTCAATAACCGGGGTCTGAAGATGCTACGCCACGAGTGAGCAGTAAATGATTCACTCGTGCCAGACGATCGGTAGGGCTGAGCGAAAAGCCCACTGAAACCGACTGCACGGTTCGTTCTGGTTGGGCGGTCAACGCAAAAGCGCAGCACTTGTGAGATTGCAAGAAATAGCTCCTCTTAAGGTAATAATAATCGTGGGCCCAGCGTGGAGACTGTGAAAGCAGGTGAAATGGAAACGGTGAGAAGTTGCACGGCGATGAGCAATATCCTGCGGATAAGTAATAATGGGCTCGACACGCGGCTCATTTTCTCTCGCGGGGGCTGCTCGAGCTGAAACCGAGCAGAACACCATAGACCAAGAGCTTCAAGACGATCGATCGGTGACAGAGCTGCAAGAGAGCACCCATATGTGCGGTATTGCATTGTGGCTCATCATCTTCACCAATACCATCGCTCGAGTCGCAGCTGAGGCTGTGGTGCAGCTCATGGGATTCGCTGGGAACAACGCCATGGTAGCTCAACAGCGAAGCCCCTTCGGTGCTCTATTTCTATACCATCCCTCAAGACAATGCAGTGTCTCTCATCTCACGATTGGTCGGGGATGGATTTCTCAAGCTTTTAGTGGCCGACTGTGAACGGAGAGTGCATTGTTTGGGAGCATGATGCGCTCAAGTGCATTGGCGTTGCTACCGTGGCAGCCATTCAGCGGTCTTGTCCGTCTGACAAGCAGACAAGGCCACGAATCAAGAGTCTTATGGAGAAGGGAACCCTGTCCATATCGACAGAAGTTCATCCAAATCACCGGGGATTGGGGGCTGAGAACTTCGGGGGCGGAGGCATATAATAGTAATAGAGAATAATGGAAGTCAGTCGAGAGTCGCTGGTGAGGTCAAGCTGCTATAAAGACAGGCTCCCTTTGCTGATACGGTTGAGGATCGGGAATTTGAATGATCCTTCAATGAATCATGTATTGTGCAGACAAAGACCTAGTTTGGGCGATCATAGGCAATTTGAAAAGTTCCGACAAGCGATGCCCTTCGGCTGTCCTCGTTAAAAACTTCCTTGTCAGAGAGTAATAAGCTGGCCAGGTTGACCGATGACCGTTCCTAAGCGGTCAACCTCTGGTAGCCTTACGATCGTCAACTAAAGCAACGGACTGTCATCAAGCAAAATTAGCTTGGCGGTCAGAAGGGGGTATCGGCTTTAAAAAATTTGATGCCTGGTTTGAGATGGCTGTTGACATTGTGAGGTAGCGGCGGTTTATCCTAAAATAGAGTCTTTTAGTGAGCACAAGCAGGCCGGAGTCGCTGCCCTTTGGTGGTAGGTGGAGACGTAATTGGAGCCTGTCTTCATCAGCAGGGCGGCCAAGATGTTGCGAACCTCGGCTTTCTGTGGAAATGATCAGAGAAGAGGCATTTTCTTTAACCTTGATAACTACAAAGAACGTCATTCTGTCAGTGCGCAATTAGCAGCAACCTTCAAGTGACTTCTCGGTGAGAAGTCCAAGATCAAACAGAGTGGTAGTGTAGTAGCGGCTGCAGATGGCTAGGAGCCTAAGTTGACCACCCATTAGGATCATAAGATTGAAGGATGTAGTGAGGTACTCGGAGAGTAGCATTATCAATCATCAGCCCAGATTGTGTAAGTGTTGACTCCTCCCCACTTCGCAAATGCTTGTTCAGAGTCAAACCAAACCAAACCAAACCTCCCTAGGTCTGGCGCTCATATCATGAAGTTGGACCTCCCAAATATCGCATGGATGCTCGACTGTTGGGTATCCATACAAGGTAGTAGAAAGTGCCCGGCCGCTGCCCGCTGCCAAGAATCGTTAGGCCTCTCAAGGGTCCTGCAACGTTAGCTGCATGCCGGTGCTTCACCAGGCGCCACTTTCTAGACCAGATGAGAGCTTCACGATCGGTGACTGCCATTGATAAATCTTGCCCATAAGCCTCCGATTTGCTTGGCACCCTACGCTCAGACATTGGCAACAAACTCGCTGATGACTTCTAGAATTGGTAGGTGCACCAACGCTGGGTCAACGTCGTACTGTATGTAGCTCGTGTTGCTGAATTCATCTCCACTGATGCTGGAATTTAGAGCATTGCCGATCAAAGGGCGGAATTAATAAGGGTCCATGAACTTTATTTGGCGGACGAATGATTCTTGCCGTTCCTGCGCAAGCGAACCGGTCATAATCGACCCAGAACCTCCGGTCAGACTCGACGCGGGGAAGAAGTGATCACCCCTTGCTGTGATCTTCCTGAGGATTCCCATTATCCTGAAGAGCGTAGATCTCAGACCGATGCAGCATTTAAACGGGAAGGGTTGCGGCGTCCGGCAAAGCACGCGGGGGCGGGAAGGGTATGGCGTCGGATGCTCTCAGTGGCTTGCTAGGCCTGTGCAATTAGCCAGGTTTCTGGTTTGCCGCGCCTGTCAGAGCGAGTTGCCCATCACCATCTGGACCGAAAGCGGCCGAGTGGCAGCCGGATGGTGCTGAATTGGCAGTCTCATTACCCCGGATTTTCCAGCCCGCCGGGGAAAAGAATGCCAGGGCCATGTGGTTTTGGGTCGTGGTTTGCCGCTTTTGAGGATGCCATTCGGTGGCTGCAGGGACACGAGGTCGGTGCTTGACTCCGAATACTTGATTCAGTCTTGGGGAGCTGGAGAGGGTTACATTCATCACGTCCAGTTCCTCCTGTCAATTCTAGAACTCTGTCTCTCGGTGGCGTTGGAGGAGAGGGTCGCTTTTCATGTGAAGAAAAGTCACCTGCTGTTAGACAAGCGGGGGCGTGGATTTGCATTTGTTCTGCACCAAACGGGGAAAAAGACTCATACTGTATGGTCACTGTGCGGTGCTTCATAGTAGATAGGGCAAACACAGTATGAACTCATCGGGCTCCATACCCCGATTCTCCATCCCACCGCAAAAGCTCTCCGTTACCCCCTGCAAATTCATCCCATGGTCCCATTCTCATCCCCCCAAATCTCCAGCTCCCCGCAGAACAAGGACCAGCGGTTACAAAATTCTTTCAGGGCACATTTCTGATGCTCTCAGTGCACTTGCAGACCAGCGCCCGTAACCCCGCAAGCTAACAAAAGGTAGCTTTGCCCAGACTCGGGCAAGTGTTGTAGCCAGGGCCAGGGATCCATGGTCGTCGTGGATGCTGAAAGATCACGATGGTGTGTAGTGAGTGACGAGACTGGCAAGGAGGGACCTTCTGTTAGACGGTAGACCGAACCATGACGCCCCAGAGACGCACGAGGCATCAATTTTGATCCCTTCCATTTCTTCTTTTTTCCCTTCTTCTCCCCCCCCTCTCGTCTTGGTCCTACTCATAATCCTGCTCCTGGCCTCAGTCTTGCCTTTTAAACTTTGACCATTGTCTCTTGTTTGATTATATCGTCATATTTCGCCCTAGCCAACGTTCGTGACCATCTCCTGGACTACCTACTTGTTAAATATCACTACCGATCTCCCGTCTCCGCTCCAATTTCTCCCCCAGATCCTCGGCTTCTTTGTGGACTTCATTTCCCCCTCTTACTTCCCCCACACGCAGATCAGTTCTTCAATTCAAAATATTCAGTCGACGACTTCCTGTTGCTTCAATATAGAATTCAGCAACTGGTTTGTGCTGAGACTATAAACCTCGAAACGTCTCTCACCAATACCCGCAAAGCTCATGCGCCACCATTTCAATTCCTGGATGGAAACCGCATGATTGACTTTGTGATCCTTCGATCATCTATATTCGCCACCACATAACGGCCACGATGTTGCTGTACACCAGACTTGCACCACCCAAGGTCCCTAAGAAGCGCTCGCGCGCAGGTATGTGATTCATTCTGGAAGCATCTTGTCACACAGGCAATGCTCTCCATTTTAGCTCATTGGACATGCTAACTCGGACGTTTTTGTCGTCGCACAGGATGCAGTTATTGGTAAGTCATGGCTATTCTCTTCTTTCTCTATTAGCAATTAACTAACAATTTCTATAGTAAAGAAAAGGTATACAGATCACTCTACATGTGCAGTCGATATGATACTGACTAGCTGCTACAGAAAAAGAAATGTGACGAGATTCGGCCTGCATGCGCCCGATGCCAAGAACGTGGCCAGGAGTGCAATTACGAACCTGTCCGACCTCGTCAGAGGCGCAAGCGTGAGGTAACTGTTCCCTGCTCGCCATTTGACACAAACTCTTCCTCGAGCTCGGACAGGGCAACTCATGTTTTGGATATCCATGCCAACTCCGAATGGAATGACGATGCGCATGATAGATCAGCCGACGAGGACTCACTCGACGACACTCCTGTTACGACCCAAGCACCAATGCTCAACACTTCTCTCGTCAACCGTACTGCCAGCATATCCACAAATGACCCTACTGACTGGGCTTCCACGGACCTGCCGATAATTTCACCTCTCGACTCGGTCGATTTTCAATTGCCCTCGTTCGATGATTCCAAGTATGTCGTCCAACATATCGAGAACGGAGAGGAGGATATCGAAGAGATTGTTCGCCGAGAGTCCATCACCATCAGTATTCCGACAACGACATATGCCAGCACATATGCAGCCGCATACGCCACCCCCAGCCCTTCACTGGCTATGATTGCGCCCATTCCTACGCAATCTCCTCGACTTGAGTTCTGCGCTCCGGTATTCACAGAGTTCTCCGAACGTACCAACCGACGCGCACTTCTCGACCATTTCTGCAATGTTTTGTCGCATCTCATCGTCTTCCGTGAAGAAAGTGGCAATCCCTTCCAGCAGCTTGTGCTTCCTTTGTGCCATGAGAGCCCCGCTGTCACCAACGCTGTCTACGCTTTAGCGAGTGCTCATCTCGAGTACCGTGGGGTTGAAAATGACGAGAAGAGTGTCTATTTTCACAACAAAGCTATTCAGGGTCTGGCGCGGTTGATCCAGAAAGGCTCAGGCGCAAACCGAAACGAGTTGCTGGCTGCTATCATGCTTTTGGTGTATTATGAAGTGGTAAGTTGATCAATAAATTCGAATCTCTGGCCCATGTAACTGACTGACGCCTTGTAGCTGGTGCAAAAGGGTCGATCCAACATCGTGGATGGCCATCTCAAAGGCGCCATGACCATCATGAGCAACAATGGAACCGCCACTGATCCAACTGGCGTTTTCCTGGAGCGCGTAAGTCATTGTTCAGCTGCATCCACGAGCAAGTTGCTGACAATTTTCCAGGCATTCCGTTTCTATGATGTTATTGCGGCACTGTCATTTGGCACTGCTCCTCTCTCTAGTGCTCCAGGCACAAATTATCTTACACCTTTCCCTCCTCTCGATTCTTGTGGCGCCACATCTCCCTTGGGCAGTGTCGACACTCTGCTGGGCATGGCCACTTCCCTGTGGCCAATCATCCATCGACTTTCCAACCTCTTGGCCCTCAAGGATCAACTTGATGTTGCTGTTGCAAACGAAGAGGTTTCCAAGGTTGCTGTCCTCCGAACGGAATTTGAGACCTCAGCAACGGCTATCGAGGCGGCGTTGGAGGACTGGCATCCTGCCGTCCCCGAAAACTCTGTTTTGAACCAAAATCCAGAGGAATTGAGCCCTGAGCAAACTGCAGAAAGGAGCCGACTCCAGAGTATTCTTAGCAACGCTTTG